ACCTCTAATCATCGCGTCACACGCGCACACGGTTTCATCGAGCATCATGAATTTTGTTTATCCATATTTAATCTATTGACAACTTACAGTGGCATGTCGCCGTGATAGATTATGTTGATATCCCATCAAATATATAATATCGATTCAGTGACTTCAACAGTGGCTTGATTAGTCCAGGTCGCGGAATTGAGCAAATGGTCGTGCATAGCAGGACATTCCTGAAAACTGCGTCACACGCGTATCTCTTGGCAACAGTACATGAATTGTTATAGTACATTAGTTTGTTTTCTTTCAGAAATCCGAATGGGCCATCTGAAAATTCGAGTGAGTTCGATTTTAAATGGGAGCCAGCAACTAGTGAATGCTGTGGAAGGTAGTCTTTTCCACTGTTGAGCATGTTGATGTGTATGATTTACTTAAACATTCCAAGATATTATCTCTATTAATAATCATTCTCAAACGAATATTATTAGCATTCAGCCATCTTTCTATCAATAAACACTGTGAAATGCGGACAACCTATGAAGATCACAGGGGCGAATTCTGGGAAAATATTCGGCTAGCATCGAAGAGCTGCTGATATGTACAGTACTCGAAAGAACTACAGTGGAACTCATTGATTATACGGTCATGCAACAATTCGCACGGTGTCATTCTCATCGTTATGTCTAGGCCAATGCTTCGTAATTTTGACGGTTTATTTCGTAATCAGAATCTTGGTTGGCATAGAAAGTGGTAGCATTTCTGAATACTCAATAAGCAAACAGAAGCACTCAATGATATTCAGATTTGGCGACCATGTCAACAATTGAACGCTCCCTTCCGCTCTTTTTCCTCCACTATCATATCCATCTTTTCATCGGCTTACTCCTTCTTTCCACCCAAAACTGGCCTGGAAAGAACCAAATTTTACATTGGATTTCGTGACTTTTGAAAGTTTCATAACCTTTTTCTTATTATGCTTGCAAGTGCTAATCTGTCTATTAACTATGAACTCTATCAGTGTTTTTGTATCTTCTTGGTTATTTATTTTTCTTTAAAAATGTCTCTCATTTTTGAAAAACCATTTATTTCATTAACTGTCAGTATTTACTATTTAAATCTAAAAATATTGTATACAATTGTGATTCAGTAGAATTTTATTCATATCCAACCGGGTGTAATTATGCTGTTAAGTTATCGTAGTCCGTACTGAAATGTATGAGAAATGTGACGAAATAAAAATAATTAGCAGAGAAAGCCCTGGCTTTATGACCGCCTAACCAGCAACCAGCTCATATGACATCTGTTGCAGATCTGTGAGTTTTCAAACGGCAGCACAGATAATTGGATTCTCCATTACTCTAAAATAAATCGATGAACAAAATCGTTCTTTTTTTCAGAAGAGTATAATGATGAGTGGAAATTTGTAGACCTTTTCGAAATCAGTGATGCTTTTACGGCATTCAAAGCCATCCGGGCAGATGTCCACTTCATTACTTTCCGAATTGCAGATTATTGGTACGAGTGCTGGTGCGCCAAAAGAGCAGACTAAACGGAAGTGTTACTAGCTCTTACATATGTAACAATAATGTTGCCGATACGAGTCGCTTTGTGATAGCTATTTTCTTGCTCAAAAAAAGTAGTTGCCATTATACCTGCATTCCCAACTTTACGAATACTAACTAAGATCAGTAAGACTGATCAGGTTGTACTGTCCCTTCTTTTGGTTCGCAACAAACTCTTTGCATTCGATTTAAGCTGTAAATACAAACTCCAGACGGGCAACCGCTTCCTGATTGGCAGGCAGTCGTAGCAGTAAGAAAGGTATAGTAGCAGTCAGGTACTAAATTAGATCTGTTCTTTGATAATCGCAATTTTACATACACAGTTGCGGGGTGAAAATACCCAACCTGAAACCATGATATTAATCTTCCTTTCCGAAAATTTGCTTTGATCCAGTGTTGAAAAAGCTTTTATTTGAATATATTTCTTGTGTACAATGATGTGCAAGGCCTTCGCGTTAGGCGGAATTCGAACCTACATCCACTCTGTCTGGGATCGCGTGCTCTAATCCATTGCATTACTGACGCCCCATTTTGCGCACCAATCTATGTACCCTACAACGCATCTATCTGCCAGCCTCGAACCGTCAAAGGCCTAGCCCGGGTAGCAGGTATCGACACTGAACCCAGTCACGCTGAAAGATATTGGGTATTAATGACCACATGAAATTCTTTTTATTTAACCGCTTTTAGCGGTGATAAGAATTTTTCAAATATACCCTTTGTGTAGGGTGAAGTGCAAAACTTTCGCGTTAGGCGGGACTCGAACCCACATTCCACTCTCACTTAAAATTTTAATTGGTTTAATATCTACTAAAGAAAATAGCGCATAATAACTCAGAAGAAAATACGAGACTGTTTCGAAGTGGCTTGATAACGGCGTGCACTTTGGTGATACTATCATTTGCTATCGAAATTCTATTCCACCTAGATTTGTATACCGTAGTTGTGGCGCAGTGTTGAAGGTGCTCTGCGGCACATATGATCGAACATTTGATGGTTGGTGGTTCGCTTCCGCGCTCAAGGCTTATCAATCGTTCCGTTCTCCAGATCGACGAACTAACACCATACTTGTTCGGGAGGATAGCAGAAGCAACTTAACACATTGATAGGCCACCACGAGTCATTGTAAAGACCAGATACGCATTCAATCACCTCAAACAAAGCCGTAAGTTGAGGACAAGTCTGTGACGCATGAGTTTGGTCAAGGCGGAAAGTTTTTCCCTTTTCATTTGATGCAATTACTCTACCTCAGCACCAGTGTATTTCTATGAGACCAAAGTAAAGACATGACCTGAAACTTTTTTTCCCTGTCAAAGAATAAAGGACAAAGGGTGCGGCGTCATATTGGACACCCTCAAAGGTGAACCATGCATTCAACTTCATCGTTAGAGATGATTGCATGCATGTCTGGCCGACTCCACAATTTGCGACGGCGAACTGATGTAGCAAGTGAGCCTGTTGATTTCTCTGACATGTGTGGAACCACTATCTCGACTCCAGAGGAGTGGCAGCCTTGCTGAGTTTCAGGTGTGGAGTCGAACCAACGATCGTGTGTTCTGCAAGACACTCTTATCCACTTCGTCACGTCCCACAAATAGCTCGTAAGATATGGTAAGATATTAAATAGCCTCAAAATCTCTGACTTCCGGGGCGAGAGCAGGCGAAATATAACGACGAATTTTATAGGCAAATTTTTTCTCTGAGGATTCGCCTGTAGTTGATAATTTAGTAACAGATCACCTGCATTGACAGCAGCTGCGACGATGAGAAGGAATGATTGTGATGAGTTCCATTTTGGTTGACAACGATGTTGAACTGACTACGACGGGGAGCCTTTATAGCATCATGGGGTGGCATTGTGTTTGCTTGTGTTGTTTGTCGGATTTTTTCACCTCAAGTCAAAACGCGACCCACACACTCTGAGTATGCGAAACATCACGCTAAAAATGCACTCTCGTATTTTCATACATAATGCCGAATCCTTTGAATTTATTGAGGATATGAGATGTCGGTACTATTTTTTGCTGCCATTGATCAGTGCTAATTCGGTTGTTCTCGAATCGTTTTGCTATATTTGGTTTCGATGTTATGACCGTTGAAAGTTTTCGGAACTGAAAACAAAGGCAAATATACAAGAACGTTTTTTTACAGTAGTTTTTTCAATTTTCTTATGTAATACTTATTAAGCCTTTCGTTAATGTCAAGAAGTGAACTGGTATATCATATTTGTTTCTAGTCGTTGATATTTGATGACATCGATACGCCAGTTGACAGCGACTTCAAACATTGCGTCATCGTTGATTGTATTTATCTAAGGCGTAACGGCTATTTATGTAATCTTAAAAGCGTTGAAGCTTTTGACGTTGATGATTTTGTTAAAACTGCACCATGCATTTGATTCCATCCTTGGCCACTTCGACTTGTTCTATCCTAATAATGAATCAAGTCGGTGCGCTTCTTCTTCCAAATTTCTTCGGTGTCATTTTTGCTGGTCTTCTGGAATGAGGACCTTGATTAACTAACAGTGCAAAATTGAACCACAGACCACGTGTGTCTTGTGGTTGGTCCCCCCCCCCCCCCCCCGTACCTGCAGGTTTCCGTGTTGGCTTACTATTTTACATTAGGTCAGCATTTCTTTTCCTTTTAACATGATAAATTGGAAATGAACATTTTAAAATGCTTATTGCTTCCGACGAGCGCATGTGACGCAGTGGTTAGAGGTGCCCTGCGTTGCACACGAGGTCAATGGTTCGATCTCGCGCTCATGGCTCACCAAACCATCCATCCCTCCGGGGTCGGTAAATTGGTACCAGACAGGTCTCAAGCTTGTCTGGGAGGATAAGCAGCACTGACTCGGTTCAGCGGGAGGCCACCGCGAGTCATTGTAAAGGCCAGATGTGCATTCAAACACCTCAAACGAAGTTGAAAATTGAAGTCGAATGCATGGCGCATCCCTCAGGGATTGATCAACGCCGAGAGCTTTTATCCTTTTATTGCTTCCGACGTTCGTACAACGAAGGCGGCGAAACCCGCATAGTAATTTAAGCATGAATTCGATCGCAGATGCTAGGACAGAGTGGGAATGAAGTCATATACGCCCGTACAAAGGAAAATAAAGAAAAAAAAAACAGAAAAAAAAATCAAGCTTTGCATACAATAAACAAAGTCTGGTATATATATTATAGACAACGACTTTGTGAAACAACTCTAATAGATTTAATAAATTTGTTGAAATAGTATTGGACCTCATTTCACCATCATGTACATCAGTCTCATCAATCATTTAAATATCTTAGAATCACTCTAAGTTCTTTCGCCAATTTTTATATCAGTGCACTTGAGTCAACATTATGATATACTCACTTGGATGTACTAATCTTGAACTTGGCCGTCTGCAAATGCAGATGGCTGAAGTTAGTATACCCAATATGTGGAGTGCTGTGCAAAAACGTTTGCGTCAGCCGGGATTCGAACCCAGATCTCACTCTTTCCGGGAGCGTTTGCTAACCGTTGCACTACCGACGCTCGTTGTGCACAGCACTCTTATCATACCACTGCAAGTGGCAGTCAAAATAGAAAGAATTTAGGCTGAAGTTAGTCACAAACATGTTTGCCTACTGCTTGAGTGGTCGATTAAAAGGGTACTTGCATTCTCTTGAAGTCCATTCCATTCCTCTTTTCGTTCATCTGTCATGAGTTCTTTTCGTTGCGTGACCTGCTCATGCTTCATCCGTTTTCAAATTATATATTTGTGAGTCTAGAAGACTGAATTATTTCCGAACATTTGGACTGGCAAACTCTCCTCACGCAGTGGGTGTGCGGATTATATTTCACATCCGATGTTCAAATGATATGTGAGTGATGCGCAGATTTTTTGAGATATTCGGAATATTAGCTTGAAAATTCTCTCCATAGCATGGTGTTGGATGAGCTGATAAATCGCCAGTCTGTTTCCTGCTACGTTTAGTTCACAAGTATTGCCTGTGCATCAGTAGTACTCTTTGAAAATTCACCAATGTCATCCTCGAAAAATAGGTTTGCCAGCAATGTTCCGCCCACGCTAACAGTGTTCTCTTTTCAATGGCGCGATTCCATTATCCACTGCTAAGCAGCAATGAACGACTTTGGTGATATAGTATTACTATGATGAAGCCTTCTCCTAAAGGACTGGTGCGCCATTGATGGAAAAATTGCTTTCTTGTGCTATCAATGATCCGCAGTACGGTGCGGATGTGATACATAAAACAAGGTCCGTCTGATTCCTTCCTGCTAAACTGCTTGTGTCTTAGTCAAACTCATGAATAGCTTATAGAGTGCACTTAACGAACATATTATAAGGGACAGTTACCAAGATTCATTTAGGCTTTCTTTTTGAGCAGGATGACTGAGTGCGACTTCTTCCTCGGATCTGGGATTTTTTAAAGGCACGGTTTGATAGGGGTTGTGAGGAGTAAACGTAGACCAGGGCCTCCAGGTTTAGGAGTGATATTATGTCGTCCTCTGACTGCACACTTCATCATGTTTTCTGTCGCAACTCGAGGGTTGAGAGGTGAAATCTTGAGTGATTTTTTCAGTAGAAATTTCAGGAATTTGCTACGAACGTTGCGGTTTGGAAACATTGGCGAAGAGTCCTCCAGTTTTAGATTCATATCATGATAGAAAGTAACGATGATCGCATTTTTGTATATTACTGTGGACAGTAGAACATAATAGTTGCCCGGCTCCCAATCGCATTTTTCCAGACCACATTTTTTTTTACTGCTCCGAATAACATTTTCTTGCTCGTGCCAATATAAATCCTCGTGCGCAGATCTTTTACAGTTCGGATTTGATACCAGATTAACTGAGCTGATCTTAGCTTACTGTTTGAGGAACCTATGCTGGCACAATGTTTTCTGCACATGTTTTATGTCATTGAATAAGATTGATATTTTATGGTTGCTCTGTAATTCAGTACTACATTTCAAATTTTCTTACTATCGAATTAAGGTAGGTAACTCTAATCTTCATTCAAAGCACTTGTCGAGAAGGAGCATTGTGTTTAACAAAAATCGGAAACTGTGATTTAGTTTTTTTAGTCCCTGCTCGACAAGTCATTCTATCAATAGTAGGAATTGAAACCGTCGTTGAGACGTAGCCTGGCAACCTCTCTTATCGGCAATGGTAGACGACTGTCTGTTTTGATGAACTTGGAAATCCTTTGAGATGATTTCCTCAAAATCGTTCAGTCTAAGCGAACGCAGTGGATAGCGGCGGCTTGAGCCAGCTGGAAAATGTGCCAGGGTCCCTTCAAGTTGTGTAATCAAGCGTGATTAATGGTCAAAGCTAAGAGTGTTTGCCTGCGACAAGTGTATCTGAAGAAAAAACTCAAGTAGAAGATTTTCCTTAAATGCTTCAATATTACCATAAATTCTCTCATACAACGAATCCTTGTTAAGCAGTCGTCAGCTACATGATACATAGTCACATAGGTGACGGAGAGGTCAGTACGGACAAAAAGCGACTACGTATTGATTCATAAATGTTTTTCTACCCAAAAAGCGATTCAAAACCTTCCCCTAATTGATTGATCAATAACAGCAGTTCAGGGTAGACATATTGATGCATTTATGTATGCTAAGTATTTTGCGCTTTCTGAGAACTTCATCTTGCAATTCACTTCAACAGGAGTCTGCAACTGAGTTAGTAGCAAAGACACCGTTGACCATTTCAGATCGTCTTCAATGAAGAAGTTCAATTCCCCACATCTCTCTCACAGTTTCATGTGTTGGTTAGATCGGCAACAATGAAGAGGCTTACAGCAATTGCTCCGTCATTTTTGCCTTTCGATCGTGTGATTACCCTAGAAGACTACTAAAGTGAAGCATGGAAAATTTGTTGATGCTCACGCGAGGGAATTGACGAGAGCAAAAAGAAGGTCACGGGATTTCTCCTAACTATCCGACATAACACAGTCGCGTTGTGATCCATCGCATTGAACTAGCTCCAACACCAAATTCAAGTAACACACCTATTAAAGCCAACTACTTCTCCAAGTTTGGATCGTTGCCTCAAAATCGATATTTTCAAAATTAAAAAGGGCTTTTCTACTTACTGAAAGCATAGACGACTTCCTTGCTTCTGAGCAGCTCTGTTCTCCAATGTTTTGTCATGCTAGTAATCCCTTCATAATCACTTTGTATAGTCTCGTTGAGGTTCATTCAATCGTGATATCTGAAATTGATGTTTGTCCATTGAGTACTCTTTCCTTGTTCGAACCTCCCACATTTTCCACTCCGAGCCTTTTTATTTTTGATTTTTATATTATATGGACTGATTTTCCTCAAGCCTATGGGTCCTTTGATCAAAATTCCTTTCACGATTAAGTCAACGCGGTCACAAAACTTCTAATAGGTTAACGTTTAGGCGCACAGTGACCTGAGTGTATGGTCTGGAGCTGTTCGTCCATTTTCTGAAGTGCTAGATATTTTACATATTATTACGCTTTGCTCCAGATAAAAGATAACTGGCCCCTTCATGATAAACAGACAATTTTCTCTTTTCTCTGGTCACACATTTCATGTCTGTACTTGGAAATAAATGCACGAAAACCCAACGTTACTGCATATTACTACTATAACAGTGTATTCTGTTACAACGCTCAGAATGGTCACAACTAGTTGCCTTACAATTTTTTCCTAACTGGCGCTCGTCTCATGACGATGTACCTCATAGGGTTATGCCAGAATGATTCTCAAGCTGAGTTATACAACAAATTTGCAACAATGCCAGCTAAAAGCAAAGAAGTGCCGCAGAAGTACTCGAGAATTAGTACATAGCATACTGTTGATTATCTTATCTTATTGATGAGCTATGTTATTGTTGAGGACAGTGAGAGTATTATTATTCAATACTTATAGCACAACAGTGTTCTTTGAACAAGACGACATCAATCACTCGCCTAAAGCTCGCAGCGGCTACGTTGTCACTAAGCCTAATCGGGCTACTCACAGACCAGCTTCGCTTCAAAATACGGCAACTAAAATGAAATAAAACTCCAGAGCAATGGAATGAACTTCGAAAATCACACAGGTACTTAAAAATCAAATTGAGAAACATCATTGATCACATCATCTGATGCTAAATAAACAACATTGAGCTTGAAAATAAATAAATAATACAGTTACGTGAGCAGTGATGACCTATGCCATATGCAGATGAAATCCTAATGGATTTCCACTATAGTAAAAATTCATTACGACACTATCTAACATCACAACCCCAACCTAAACCACACATCTAACATACACAGAATACACAGCCAACTCCCTAATCCACCCGACACTAGAATTCCTCCAACCAAACCCCACCACACCCCCCCTCATTAACCCAGAACGCCCCCACTTAATCCTACCACTAACCCTATATCCACGGGTTCCCCCCAACATTTATTCCCATAACGCCCAGCCAATAGCCCCCCCCTCACATGGCCCCCCAAACACCCACCAGGCACCACCCCTCTCCACGATCCAAAAATAAATATTCAACAACTTGTACATAAAGGCTCCAGATTAATCCCAGTCCCCCCCCCTCAGCACCTCCCAGATCCCCATCCCTTCTCAGATTCCAGTCCTCTCCCACCCCCCCCCCCCCCCCCCCCCCCGTCCCCCC